TTGAAATATATGTAAATATTTCAATAAAGAATTAGAAAAAAAAAAACACAAGGAGAAATTTTTGAATATAGAATAAAAAAGTTTTTCATATCTTATAAAGGTATACCTTTCACTACACCATATAAATTAGTGCTCTTAAAGCTTTTAAGTGCTTTTAATAGATAAGAGAACTGATATCAATTATGCGAGAACTAATATTAACTTTTTTTTTTTAATTTAAATTGAACTCATTATCAAACAATTTTTTTGCTAATTTAATTTTTAAAACTCCTGAATAATTAAAAATTACTTAGATTACCTCGACATTATTTTGTGAATTCTGTCTTTTAAAGATATTCCATCAATTGCAATTGATTCACCTAAAAAAAACAACATGTAAAGCTAACATTATTGTTTAAAATTTTATTTATCTTTTTACAAATACTCATAATATTTTTTAAATGACTGATAAAAGTGGATTTAATTAAAATCACTTCTTTTGTATTAAAAATTTAATATTAAAGCCTTAATCATACATTATACAAGAGTATTTTGTAATACAATCTAAATAGTTGTTGCGATTTGTAATTTCTTTATCCAAAATTTAGCTTCTGTAAGCTTTAGAAATTTTTAAAAGAAATTATTGATGAATTTGGAGATACGGGTACTAATGATTTTATATTGTTGTAATGTTTGTATTCATTCCCTGTTAGTTTCTGTAAGTCAAAATTTTTTAGGTGTTTCCATTATAAACTCTATTATATCTGAAATTTAGTGTAAGTCTGAATAATTTAATTTCTAAAATCTGTTTTGCATTGCCTGTCTTATAACAGCTTTACTTGGAACAAAAACCATGTGCTTTAAAAGTGAGCTAGAAGCTTTCAACCACGAAGAAAATAATGCATTCGCTAATCCTAAAAATATATTAAACCTGTCAGCAAGATCAGCTGTCAGTAATCCAAGTATTAGCATCATTGAAAATTCATCTTTGCTGCATTACATTTATTTTGGTCCAAGTAGTTAAGGATTTTTTTAAATTTCAAAAAACAGAAGTAGATGTTTTTTTAATATCACTTTATCTTCTTTTGATTAATGGTGATACTGCACTAAATGATGAAACAGATTGACAGATGTAATGCCAGTATAAAAGTCGCAAGATCTATCATTTTTAAAACAAATGTTTGTATACAAGTAAATTTCAATAACACGATTTGTTTGGATTATGTTTATATACAAATTTGCCTGGTTTCATAGTAATAACTGATGTGGTTCAAATTTATTTTTCATATAAATCTTTTTTTTTTTTTATTTCGTGCTGAAGTTCTTTTTTAAAGTTATCAATTTCCTTTTTTAATTCTTGATGCTCTTTTATAAAACAACACTTAACATTAAATTCAACATAATTTAATGTAGGTACGTGTGTAAAAATTTCAAATTGTTTAAATATTAGATTGTTATATATCGTTGGAAAGAACTTTAAAAAAATATTCCAAAACTGAAAATTTTATCAAAATCGGATGATTCTACAAAAAGTTATGAGCATTATAGTGACGAAATTAGATTACAAGGATTCCTTAACAAAAATGTGACCAATTTATAATGGTTTTGTAACTTAAACCGCTTAACATTGTCAAATCTTATCTAAATGCATATAACTTGGTATCAAAAGATAGGTGTAACATAGGCTACAAGCTTCTTTTACTTTTGACACCTGTGCGCATTCAGGGGGCTAGAGGGGGGACAGAAGAAACATCTTTGCCATTAAAAAATTCACATTTCTTCCAAAAAAGGTTGAATTTTTTATATATAAAACTAGTAATTTATCAGTTTAAGTTGTTATTTTTTTATTCCAGTTTGCAAGCAAATATTATAAATGTATTTTATGAAGGAGGTGGATGTGGTGGTAATGGTACACACCCTAGTATCGAAAGATTCATTCTAATAAATATTTTTATCATTATTAAAATGAATGAAAATAGTAAATAATAAAACTAATATACAAAATAATACATAATAAAAATTATATTTTATTAAATTATATATTAGTGACATAAATAAATTATGTCACTAATATATAATTAAATAAAGGATGTGGGGCGTCACCCCCCCCCATCTATCACAAAAAAAAAGTTTAAAAACAAAAACTAGCAGTATAAAAAGTGGTAGAATACGCTCCTTCCAAATCTTAAAACTTTAAATTTAATGCTGCTTTTAAATGCTCTAAATGCTAAAAAAAAAAAAGAAAAGAAAAGAGAATGTATACATATGTATAATAAATAAGAAACTTACATAATGCGATTGTTTATGTGAACTAATAATAACGCTAAATATAAAAAACGACAATAACATAAAAAATTATGTTTTAATTTATAACTTTATAACAATTTCTTGACTTTTAGTAAATGATTAAAAACAGTTCGGGTCACCTTTAAGCAAGAAAACTAAGTTATATATATATAATATAGAGAAGAAAAATATGTTAAATTAAGGCTTCTGATACTTTGTTAGATACTTTTTAGAGTAAATGGTTAATTTATCTTAACCGCCCTTGTAGCGTAGTTTGTTAAGCTGTATAACAATGTTTGCTGCAATACAATCCCTGCCAAAGAGTTTCGCTTTTAATGTTTCTAATGCTTTAAGTGAAGACTTATGCAAGCAGAGGTCATTGCATCCAATGGGTGAAGATGACAGTTTAGTAACTGTTTATTGATTTCTGCCACTAACTATTTAACTTAGTGATAGTTGCATGTTTTGCTGCTACTCGGTCACTCATCATATTACTTATATTACCAATAATTGTACTTCGTACTTCAATATATTGTTGTTCGTTAAAATTACTATACAACTTAGCAAGGTGATCTACAGACTGTGTAATATGACTCTGATAATCATTTGCTGTACCCCAAGCAAGTTGGTCAATAGCCACAACCATGCATTGTATTTTGGTTGTAAAGTGCACAGCATTTATATGGCCACCCTCTTGTGCAGTAGCATCAAAGCTCGAGGTCATATTTTTTGTTGCAATAGCTATTTCAGCAGTCTGCAGATCTGAACTCTAAGCTCACGCATCATCTGCTCCACAGTTGTACGATGCGGAGTTTCAGTTGTTGAACATTTATTTTAAAAGTATACAAGTAAAACATGTCCTTTAAGACATACCTGATATGAAAAAGGTAGTTTAAGATACTCTGATTTCAAATGATTCAACATTAAACATTTCTTTGACATTTTAAAAACTCTAGGTACAAGTATAAAAATTTAATTATATTATTTAGAGCACTAAGCTGTAAATAAATAAATTATATTTATTTAATATAGAGAATAAAATAGATATAGTTAATAATTCACAAAATTTTATTGTAACATGTATAATAATATTAACGCTGCATGTTTAACATGTTACCCTTCTTGACATGTTTAACATGTTACCCTTCTTGAAGGAGAGTTTTTGTAGACGTTCATAACTTATAGAATAACAAAGCAAATATAATATATAACTATTTATAATTCTATACAGTATATAATAATAAATGTAATTTATTTAATAAACTATTAAAATTAAATTAATTTTAATAGAATATAATTACTATTGGCAATATATATATTTTTTGGCAAAATATATTTTTTTTGGCAAAATATATTTTTTTGCTAGACTATTGCAATAGTATTAGGTACGTGGACTGATTTTTTTTAATTAAACATATACTAGAATGTTATATATCATTAGAAAGCCCTTCCAAAATATATTTTAATGGTGAAAAAATTATTAAAAACGAACAATTTAAAAAAAATATGATATATGGATTTCTTGAAGAAACTGGTTCCAAAATTAATTTTTTTTTCACTGAAATTGTTATAACTTTGTCTAATCTTATCCAAATGCCTATACCTTGGTATCAAAAGATAGATGTAATAGTAGGCTACAAGTTCATATAGATCTATAGATAAAAGGGGTGTCTAGAGGGCCAGAGGGGGTAATGAAACACCATCGAAACCTTAGAAAAATGCAAGTTTTTCACACGAAAGAGTATTTTGCTGATAAAATTTGTTATCTTTATACACAAAAAAGTTGTTCTAATTTGCTTCCATTACTTTTCCAAATATTATTGGTCTATTTTAGATTAAAGAGTGGATGTATTTGTTACGTTTTAACACCCTTGTAGTGAAATGTTACCATCTTATAAGTATTTGAGCCTAAAAAACACTAATTATATTTTGTGTTAAAGACTTTAAATTATATTTTTTTACTTAACAGAATATACAAGTGGTGCATAAATTGACATTAGGGGCGGAACGATGCCAAGCTTAACGCCCCTCCCCCCCCTTCCTCTCAGTCTTCTCCAACCTAAAAAAAAATTTTAAAAGATATTTAAAAAATGGTTTTAAACTGAGTTTATTTAAAAAGAGAAATTAGTATTTAAGATTATTTTACCATGTTAGTGAGGGGAGGGGTGTGTGCCACGCCCAACGTCCCCCCCCCCCACCTCTTCTTATTTAAACTTTAAAATATTGTCAATAAAAATTTCAAAAATGTCTTTAAATTGTGTAAAAAGCGAGACATAACTTTAATAATCTTACCACATTACAAGATGCAGGTTGGAGTATCCACCCTAAAAATTAACCACAGTTTTAAAACTTATATTTTAAAAAGTTTTAAAATACAAATTATAGAATTTATGTCTTGGCTTTTAGTAAATGATATTTAAAAAAAGTATATAAACCAAACAAAATAAAGAACAGTAATTAGGTATGGAAAAGATATTTAACATTTATCAACTCAATAAAACATTACATATAAATTTGAAACTGCATTTAATATAGGCTATGAGAAAACCTCAAAATTTCAAAACCTCAAAAAATCCTAAAACTTTTAATTACATTGAAAACATACAAAACAGGTCCCTTGCAAACTACTACATCTGTCAATGCTTTGCTTTTAAACCATTTTGTGAAAGATTTAAAATAAATAAATCAAATGTTAATAATTGCAAAAATTCGGACAAAATGAAAAACAAACTTGATAATGTTATATATTTATTTAAAAAAAAAATAAAGGAGTGGTGGCGCCTAGTAATAGTGGATGCCACCATTCACAACAAGGCCGCCACCATTCCGTCTTCGCCCACGACCTCCTCCACAATTTCCTCTTCTGCTGGAGCTTCCAGCACCCCTGTTAGGAGGATGATAGGCCCAGCTGAATGACTCACCATCATTCCCTCCTAACCGGAACCACCGCAAAAATGATCGATCGCTCATCGGTCCAGGGTGCTGGTCCCTATATCTTCTATAGGCACCATAGGTAAGCTCTAAAAGACAATAAATTGTAACTACATTAGTATTGAATGGTAAAAAATAACAAATAATACAAACCAATTATTTGATTGGCTGCATTAATAAAATTAACAAATAATAAATCAATGATAGCTTAAAAAATGTTAATTAAAGTAAAAAATCAAATACTGCTCTGGGTTTTTACTTCTACTGCACTTTGAAGGATAACATAATATAAATGTACTAATTTGTGAATATAAATAAAAATATAATGAATTAAATAATCATTCAGCAACATTTCTAAATCATAAATTTACCAGCAGAAGGTTGTGTTGATTGTTGTGGAGGTTGTGGGACTAAAGGTAAAATTTTTTAAAAATAAAAATACAATTTACTTGCTATCGATAAGATATGCATGCACATATTAGAAAAAATACTTTTACACATGTAAATTATGCATACACATATTACAAAATAATAGTTTATAAACGTACCACTTGTAGCAGCTGAAGATGTAACTAAAGGTTAACAAAGTTGAAATAAAAATAAATATTGTGATTGCTAAGAAATGCATAAACATATGAAAAAGGTAAAATTTTGTAAACATACCAATTATTCCAGATGTAGATGGAACTAAGTTAAAAAAAAAGTGTAATAAAAAATTAATATTGCAATTGATCCGAAATACATACATTCATGAACAGGCTTTTTGAAGGATGCAATAAAAATATTTTTAAGCTTACCACTCAATGCAATTAAGGATGGAACTAGAGCTAAAAAGTTTTAATAAAAAATAAATTTGCAATGTTCAAGAAATGCAAAAATTAAAAATTAATAATTGCTAAACTTACCACTAATTGCAGATGAAGATGTTGCTAAAGGTAAAAAAAGTAATAAAAAAAAAATAAGTTTTGCAATTGACGATTTTGAAATTGGTATTAAATCTATTTACAGATTAAAAAGTACTAGCTTATAAAATAACTAACCGTAGCAACTGATAAAAGGAATGAAGATCAACAATAATATAAATTAAACCAAGATATACATTCTTATATTTGATAATCTAGTTATCCTATACAAACTTACCTGTGGTAGGTTACAAACTTACCTGTGGTTGGCTGGGTAGATTGAACTAAAAATAACAAAAAAAAGTGTATAATTACAACAAAACACTATGAAATTATGAAAGAATCATAGTTATGTGGAAGATGCAAAAACTGTATTAATATAATGAAAACTAACAGTGAAAATGTAAAGAAAATATATTAATAAACAACAAGCTAACATTTGGAATGGTTATTCACTTTGTTTATATATTAATTACATTATATTGGTTGTGGTTATATATAAAATATGTGATTTATACTTACGATATCTCAAAAAAGCTTCATAATGTGCAGCAGGATCTAAACAACATGTAAACATTAGGCATGCTTGTATTATGATTTAAATAATAATCCAAAGATAAAGAAGTATACAATCCAAAAATAATAAAAGATGATAATAAGATGATAAGTTTTATTATATTTGAAAAATGCTAACAAGATTTTTGCAAGTAATAAACCAATGAATTATCTGATTTGTATGTTGTGTCATAATAAAATTGACAACAGATACTAATAGTTAACAATACATTCAAAAGCAAAGTTTTAAATTGAAGCATTAATCTTCTTTTTAATGTAACATATAAAAACAGATTAAGAATTAATCTGTTTTTATAATATAAAATTTTTATTAAAAACAGATAAATTATAGTTACATAAAAAAGAATTTTAAATAAGAAAATATTAACAAATGATATATAAATATTTTTTTGATTTAAAATAGTTATTATTGATATTATTATAAAAGAAATTAAACTTACTATCTGTTATAGATCTAACAACATCTCTGTTATTCATTATTTATTTTAATCTAAAAATAAAATTCAAAATAATACGATATTGGGATTTGTTATGTTTTTGTATAGTCGGCCCCCCTATCCACACCCGTAACAAGCTTAACGAAAAACAACAACAGAAAAAAAAACAACCAAAATTATGTACCAAAAGTCTAACACCTAGTATACTATCTGCTACCAATTATTTTTCGTTGATTTTTGGCAGGTGCTTAGAAAATGCATGTAAAATATAGAAAAACTAACAAAAAAAGCCGGCTCAACATTCCTTCGACATTAAATTAATGTGAGAACAGGGACAATATTTTCATGCAATATTGTCAGCAAAATAATACATAAAAATGTTGGGTAAC